TGCATATTTCTGTTCAAATAACAACAAACACAAACAAACAAACAAAACCCAGTATGAGTTGACTGAACCAAAAGCAAAAGAGAAAAAAATACTGTTTAAAAATCAATGTCAATATGCTTTCTGGAGGAAAGGAACAGGCAGGTTACTTAAGACCTTACAATGCAGCAGCATAGTATTGATACTTTACGGGTAGTAAAAATATTTATGCATTATTGTTACTTCTTTATAACTAAAAATAAACAGAATCAAGTATTTCTGATACATTATATTGAAGTTATTGTTAATTGATTATATATTACATAATCAGCACCCAACATTCAGGCTGCAGAAAGAAGATGGAAAAAAAAAAAATTCATAGCAAATATGTGAATACTTCAACAAGTTGCACAAAGTCCTCAGTACAGGACAACAAAATCTCATTTTTCCTCCCAATTCTCATTTTCCTACACCTCAGGCAGTGTTGTGCATGGGATGTGCACGCACCAGTATCTGAACTGGTACATATGGGAGAGATGTAACCACATTAGCACAAAGTTCCACTATTTAATTTGTTAGGTAATTTATTGCTATATTTGCAATTATTTTTTTTCAGCTACTCTTGCTTTGTTTAACTTAGAGAAAAGAAAAATTAAGTCAGCTTAGAATTAATAACTCTTAAAGCAGCTCCACCAGCTGACGCTCTTTTATCTTTCCTCTGGAAGAAGCTGATTTATGTAGCCACCAGTTTTGACTGCTCAGTGAATGCATTTTGTTTGCTTTTCCTGTTATTTTTTAGTATAAATTTAAGTCAAAAGGCTAACAAATGAAAAAGCTGTTAGGGTGTAGGTTAATTAATCCCTAGAAATTGTCTTGCTCCTGCAGCTACAAAGTTTGCTAATCATAAAAGTATATTTTTCAAGCTAATGCTTAGCAATATTTCCTTAAAAATTGCAGTAGCGAAGGTCAAAATTGCTGAGCACAGGAGATGGAAATGAGCTGTGCCACGAAGACAGTTTGTGTTGAACACCTCGCAGGGCACGTTCACTTCTGATGAGCTGGCTGAAAACTCACCCAAAAAACTGAGTTATAAAGATGCAAATGATCACTACTTTCCCAACTGACATCACAGAAGGCAGAGGTTGCCACAAAACCCCAAAATTATTTTTGTGGGTGTTTTATCAACCTGCTCTCCACGGCAGGAAGATTAGCATCAGCCTGGCACAGTCTGTGAACTCACTGCAATAAAAAGATGTTGAGATAGCAGGGCATGTCCTGGGGAGAGAGCACGCAGGGGACAGCAGTGCTGGCTGGCATCATTTTTTGTGGAAGGCCGTGTGTCTGTCTGTCAGTCCATCCCCACTGCTGCACTTGTTTAAAAAAAAAAAAAATTAAAAAATTAAAAAACCTATCCACCATGATCCACAAATCCAGAGGAAGATATTTTTCCTCAGCTCCACTGCTCAGAAAACTCTTTTGGATGTGTTGTGAATGTTTTTATCTCAGCGACACGCATGGTTCCTCCTGCAGCCATGTGTGAACTTTTAATTCTGCCAGCAGCCTAAAAACAGTGACACCAGCAGGTTTATTTTATATAAGAGGCCTGTGCTGACATAGAGTCAAGATTTGCTCTCCAATGATTTTTACTAATTATTTATTATGCAAATGAGTGAGGCAATACACTGATCAGATAAAATGCTATAAACAAACCCAGATAGTGTGAGTGTAACAGGCAATAAAGAAGTACTGAAAGTCAAAAGGCACCAGTGTAAAGTGCCTGTGATTAGAGAGGAAAAAAAATCCAGACTTTAAGCAATACAAGCTGCTGTTAGATGTGAGATACATTTTTATATCATTACTGCTGCCCTCTGTAACCCCTACGAGTTTATAAAAACCAAGAATGACAAATGGCTCTGGGAGAGCTGGGGTTTTGGGGTGAGTTGGTGGGGTGCAAGTGGTTGTGCCCCTACAGCCTGCGTGTCCCTGCAAATGGACAACATTCAGGAGAAAAAGATGCATTAAAAAAATGCATCTTCATTAGAAAAGAAGGCGTCTTGAGCGAGAGCAGGGGCCTCTTGGGTGAGAGGGTATTTTCAGCTTTGCCAGCTGCAGGCAGCTTGGCAGAAGGACAAACCAGGTCTGGTCCGTGTAGCCTCCTCCTGTCTCCCTTCAGAAAGAACCAGGGAGATCCCCCCAGCCATACACAGCAGCCAAAAGATTGCTGTGGAATGAAGTTTCTCTATTTGTATCAGTTTAGAAATAAGAAGACTGTTGTCAGCTTAGGAATTACAGGGTCTGGTTGCAGGGATAGTGGCAGTCCTGCATAACTGGTGCTCCACGAGGCTGAAAAACAAATCCCTGGCGGTGATCGATTTATTCTCACCATCATTCAAAGGACCTACTCAATCAGTTTTCCAAACAGTGTGATACTGAAATCCATCACTGCAGCACAACCTTTCCAGAACGTTGCCAGGTGAAACAAGGCTTCCAAGAGATTTATTAAGGATGTGATTGAAGAGACACTGCTGAAATACAAAAACATTTACAGTACAGGCTACTTCACTAAACACCTACGCGGGAACTCAAAAATATGACCTAATCCTTTCAAATGCAAGGGATGCATATTCTGTATTTATCATCATGATCTGCCCATCCACAGAAACATCCGAGGAGCACGGCATCAGGGAATTGAGTATTTTGTTTTATCACCTGATTGCTTTTGCGTTGAGCAGCAAAGAAAGCAAATTATTTGCAAAATTATCAGGCTCCCCCAGCGCCTCAGCATTCCTCAAGGGAAATAATGTGCTCAGAAACATGAATGTTCCCAAGATTAACTTCCACTGCCTGAAAGGCTTTTGCCTGCCTGACCTGACTGCAGCCCACGGTTTTATCAAGTGCTGCTGAGCCAGCAGGCAGGGAGATGGAAACGCTGCCGTGAAGGGAGATGGAAACGCTCCTGCCCCACCTGGGGAAAGGGCGGCTTCTTTTCCCAGATGCTTACCTGGAGCTTGGCAAGGTGGGAAGATTGCTAAAACTGGCAGTGTGACAGTGCCGGCTGTCAGTACATCTGACAAGATGGAGAATTGATGCTGTATTCTCTCTTCCTTGCAAAAATAAATAATAAATAAATGCCCTGTGAATGGGTAATACTGGATTTGAGCAGGACAATCACCTCCCTTGACTGGCTAGCAACACTGTGCCTGATGCACCCCAGGTTGGCCCTCCTGGCTGCCAGGGCACACTGCTGGCTCATATTCAACTTGCTGTCTACCACGACCCCCAGATCCCTCTCTGTGGGGCTGCTCTCCAGTGTCTAATCCCCCAGTCTGTACGTGCAGCCAGGGTTGCCCCTTCCCAGCTGCAGAATCCGGCACTTCTCTTTTTTAAAATTCATATTGCTGGTGTCCACTGCAGTAGTTATAGGTACTTACATAAGATTTTCCCTCTCTGTGATGGACAACAGCTCCTTTGTGGATTTATACGGTTTACTTCTCTATCCAGACCCCCGGGAGATGACTGAAACCTCGTGTGCTACCAGCACCTCACCAGCCAGCAACAGATCCTGGTCACCACAGCTGTAGGGCTGGTGGGCAAAGCCAACCAACAACCAACCAAAAAAAAAAATAAATTAATAATTAAGATTTATGAAAAAGATTTTATTTCAGGAGATGCTGCCTGTGATGCAAGAAGGGAGGTTAGGATCTGTGTTGCCTCCTCCCAGCAGGTCCCACAACCCAAAGGCATCCTGCTGGGCACCCTGAAGGAGTGAGGAAGCAGCAGTTCCCAAAAGCAAAAGGATTCATTTTTTAAAACCAGCACAGAGCTAAAATTTGACACTCGGTACCACACTGCACTGCCGAGGCCAAAAATACAAACTGGCAGTTGCAGTTTGAGGGAATACCCGCAGAAAGGACATTTACTGCTTTTCCTTTTTTCTTCTGCTCTTTCCTCAAGAATCCACTGCTGGGCACTGTCAGAGACTGGCTGTGGTGAAACATCCCTCTAATTCACCGTGGCCTTTTATTTATCCTCTCTCAGAGGAAAGGCTGCAAACGCCACTATGGAAAATGACGGATGCTGCGATCTTGAGGAAATGAACCATTCCTTGATTGCTTGCTTAGCTGAGCAATTTGGAACATGATAGACGCCAATTATATCATACAGTGTCAATTTGTCTATTCATTTTTCCCTCTCCACATGTTTCCTCTTCTTGATTGAATAATCACTGACAATAATCACAAGCAGCTGTGGGAAGGAAGTGCATCCATCGGGTTTAATGTCAGCAGGAATGAGAACTGATTTCTCCAGTATTCACCACAGCTCTGCATCTTCCAAGGAATTTACATTTGCCTTAGCAGAGTGCTATTATCAAGCTCAGCTTATTTCTATCACCCACTTCTATTTCAGTTTATGATCTGAAACAATAAAGATCCACAGGAAAATATCCAATTGCAAAAAAAAAATATGGTTGCTCGGTCTACTATTCTGTATTCCCACAAATATTTTTGCAACTGAGCTTTAATTCTCCTGATGCTGACTTTGAGAGTTGATGGGAGTAGAAGCTTGCAAGGCTGTGGCTGCGTAAGGTTGCTCAGAGCCAAGGGAGATGGGTTTGCTCGTCACGTGAAGGTGAGGACAGTAAAGGACAGAGCTGTCAGGAAGGTGTTAAGTAGGCAAACCCAATGGGTTGCAGAGGCTTTTCGCAGCTTGTCTGGGTACGGATCGCTCCTCCTAGTAATAAATCACCTTGCTGTGTCTGTATGTGTTGTAGGCAACAATTCAGCACCTAACATTGAATATCAAGTGATCAAAATACCAAATTCTCAATTTATATCATCGTATAACTCTGCATTTACTTTTATGTGTCTGTATACATTCATGATGTTATATCATCACATAACTCAGCAGTGCTGTTCCCCAGTTACACGAACCAATTTCTCCCAGCTGAGCTTCCAGCTCTCCCTGTTCAGAGACGCAGAACAGCAGAAAATACGAGTCTGAAGGCACGAAAAGTGACACAAAGATTGCCTTTCCCATAAAACTGTTAAAGTGGTTTATTCAATAGAATTAAATCATCTTTCAAACACAGTGACACAGACCAAAAAAAAGATACCCTGATTACTGCTTTAGTTATGGCTTACATCAATTGATAGGCTTTCTATTACAACCATAATACAGCTACATAAACAGTAAGCAAGAATTACAGGGTGGAGGATGGAAAAAAGAAAGGTGACTCAATGGACACAATGGCATTAACATCAGCATGAAATTACCATGACTCCTCTTGGATTTGTCCACCCCCGCCGTCAGCGCCTTACCAAATAACAATCATGGAACAGGCTTTATTTTTGTACTAGCCCAAGCTCTCTTTGCACAAAGACACGGTTTTGCTCCAGCATTTCCAAAGTATTTGATTTCCACCAGGTGAAAATAGGGGACATACAGCACAAGCCGTAGGGAGCAATGGGGACACTTCAGTGTCCTGGTCCATCTCACTGCAGACAGCTCCAGGTAAAACAGACATTTCAAGAGCTAGCCAACACAGTTTCTGATTTTGCTGGCTTAATTTGTCACCATTTTACATGCTAACACATTTTACAGTGATTAGTACAGTTAAAAACACACATCAACTTACCCACAGATCAAACACCGAGAACATTTATGGCTTCTAAAGAGAAAGTCAGACACGTCAGTAACATATTTACAGCTTTCAGTCCTTGAAGCGGTGAGGCAGCCCTGCCTTTCTTGAAGCTTCCCACTGCGGCCCAGTCCCACATTTCTGATGTTTCTCATGCTGAGGGCTTCGGGGAGCGCTGCAGGTGCTCAGGCCTGGGACTCGGGCTCCCCCACTTAGTGTACATTTGGGTTTCCCCTAGGGTTTGTTGAAAAAGCACTTGCGTACAATTGCTTGTTGGTTTGGGATCCCATGCAGACAACACGGCGATGTCCAGAAGCCTCACCCACATTAGATGGGATGACATTAAGACATAAAACGATTATAGTCTGGGAGGGTGGGTTTTCGGAGATGCAGGTTATTGGCTTGCCTTACAAGCTTTGGACCCGATGCTTTCCTAGTGAAGCCAAATGCAAACAGTGCTGGCCTCGGAGGGAACGGGCTGAGTCCCACCTTCACGGTGTTCACATCACTGACGAATTCCATGCTGGTATTTCCAAGCAAGCAGAAAAAAAACCTCTTCTCTTGAGGCATGTGATTCACACACATACAGCTGGGTACGGGGGGTTCGCTGTAGCCTCACACAGTGACTTACACTACCAAGATGAAATGCTTTGCATAGATGAGTTTGAAAAGATGGAAAGTGCAGAAATCTGGAAGGGAGAGTGACAGTCACAACATTTCTGCTTCCAGATAAGTTTGTTCTTTACACACACCATTAAAAACACAGTATTGCTACTGCACCGTATCTACAATATATTAAAAAATGTATTTTTAAACAAGTAAGAAACAAGAGGCTGCTCTTCCTGCCCACGACCGGGGTCCATTTTGGAGGCTTTCTCTGAAGTACACTGAACTTTCCACAGATTTCACTGGATTTTAGAAAAGGTCCTAAGAATAAATGCTGACTCCTTTATTCCAGAAACCTCATCTCACTCCAGAATTCCCCAGGGAATTTGGCCCCTAGGGATTGCTGAATATTGTCAGCATTTCCTTCTCAACGTATGTGTAAAAGCTCCAAAGTTCTCTGCATGCTCAGATGCAAACCAGACAGGGGCAAAGGGATCGTTTCCAAGCTCTCCATTTCCACTACCCAAACTTGTAAAATTACAGCCTTGCTGACAAGCCACTAGGCCTCAATTTGAAAGGACAGATTCCCTCTCATTTCACATCTTTTATCCGCCCCATCTTCCCTCACACGCTAACCAGAGCTTGCTCCCCCCTGCCACGTCAAGCCATTTCTTGCCAATTGAGCCCGCACAGGGGTAGTTTTTGTTGTGGACCGGGGTTGCTGCTCCTCGCCATCGTGAGCTGTGAAGCTCCACGTGTCAGCTCTGTGACACTCCACAGCACTAAGGGCTTGTACCAGAGCTGTGGTTGCAATCTCCCAAATTCCCCTTATGTGGCTTTTCCAGGTGGTCATTACCTACTCACCACGGTGGCTCTCCTCCCAGAGGTCCCAGCAGAAGAAGCCACCACGGCATTGCTGCCCCTTTGCAATTCCTGAAATATCTTTGAAAACTCCACTGCAATCACAGGAAATATGCTAAAATATTACAAGGGACCTCTCACCATTTAATCTGTCCTGTCCAAGAGCAAAGTTGGATTCCATAAATCAAAAGCAAGCAGCTGAACTACTTTGGCTAAATACTTCCTTCCCTCTGATGAAAGCGCTGGCAGGTTCATAAGCCTCCTCTGCCGACCTGACAATCAAGGAGAAGCCAGCCTAGTTATGTTTTTCTGACTGAATTTGCATTGCCAGTGTATGAAGACCCCAGGAGCTTCTTAAGAGATTCTCATAAATACTACCAGGAGTCGGTGATTAAACCATAATATTGTAATTTTCTCTCTCCCTGTCTCAGATCTCATATTCTCAACAGAGTGGGGATTACAGCTTGGGCTCAGGATGAGGTACCCGAGAGCTGACAGCATTTCTTCTTGGAGAGATCAGATTTTTGCATTGGGGGATTGATTCCTACAAGGATCATTGAGTCCAGCTCCTGGCTCCACACAGGTCTACCCAAAAACTCAGGCCATATGACTAAGAGCACAGGCTTTTGAACAGGTTCTTTGGAAAAAAAAAAGGTTAAGATTGAACATTTGGAGCTTTGACCATATGGGTGGGAAGGAAACAAAATAGCCTCAAACTCAGATAAATTACTGACATCAAAAACAAACAAACAAACATCAAAAACTACTAATGGCAGAAAATAAGGAGGGTCCTTCTTTCTGCAACAGCCCTTCTCGTCGTCCGTTTCAGCAGGACGGGCAGAAGCTCCGGCTGGTCAGTGCTGGCTCAGCCGCCCCATGGTGACATTGCACAGGGAGCAACCTCTGCACAGGTGAAACCTCCTTGCACTATTTCCATCCTCAGCCCCCCGCTCCTGCACGCAGGACAGCAGGGATCTGAGCTTGCAGTGCCCACTGCGAGGCAAGGAGGCCAAGAAAAACCTGAAAGCTTCCACATATGGCGTTTCTGACAAAAATGCCATCATTTTTCAACCTGTTTTCAAGCAACACCTGAAAAGTGAATCAGAAAGTAAACACGCCTCAACATGCATTTCATATTTTATAGATATTTCTTTAAGTATCTTTCTGGCTTGCTAATTGCTCCCTACATCTAACTATACATCTATGTACACCGTCACAGGCACGTCTGGGCCTGTTTCTGCAGTCCCTACACAAATAAAATACCCATCCACTTGAATGGGAGCTCTTTTCAGATAAATGTTGCAGGACTGGGCCTTTGGTGCACACGTGCAAGTATCCTGCACAGACATTTTTAACATCACTAAAAAAATATAGTAGTTATAGACTTGTAACCCAGCAAAATCTAAACACAGTAAAACTGCACTTATTACAGTATCGCCTAGGTGAATTTACATTGCTCATTTATATGAAGCAAACAAAGGAAAGGAAATGTCTGTGTCCCTGTAATTACAGGATAGCCGTAATTACAGTTTTGCTTATCCTTTTGCCTATCCAAAAAGTCCAAAAGGATTTTTGCAACTAATCAGGGATTTGCACCGCTATTTTCCAACATACCGATGCTTCTCAAGTGCCTCCCCTTCTTTTTGAAGTGTCTCTTTCAACAGATCAGACTCCTTTCAGATGCTTTTGTTCGCTCCAATCAACATAGTGAAGAAAAACCCTTACCAAAGAACGTATCCTTAGCAAAGCAGCAGCAGCAAAGCAATACTGAAGACACTACCAGACCCTTACTCAGGAAGAGTAAGAAGTAAGGGCTCTACGTACCAGCTTCAGCATCATTCCTGTTATCATAAAGCTTAATACACAGCAAAATGGCCAACCTATGGGTCACGTTGCTCTCTACATAGCACTTCTGTTACAGCACTTCATTATCAAAGCCCTTTTCACATTAATTTACAAAACACAGCAAAGACAAAGATCTCTTTTGCATATTAAATCAAGGAAACCATTTCATGTACAAGTGCATCCTCGGCGCGCGGCACACCTCACAGCTAGCTGATACGAGGTGGTGCTCACCAACACGCGGCACAAGACCAAAAGCACAAGACAAATACATAAAGCTTAAGCACAGGCCCTTCACCTACTCCTGGCTGGTATTTCCCAAGTGAGCTCTGACTCTTTCACGAAGAACATGGCTTGCTTTTAAAGTAATCAGACCTCTGGGTCTAGTGTAAAAGAAATACAGGCTTACATACCATCCTAGTCGCTGCTGGTCAGTAGGGACTTTTGAAACGGTGACCATCGTGCTTCACTTCCTTTTAGACCATTTTATCTATAGTGTGAGCAACTTTCAGAGCTCTCAGCATAGCGCAGAGGCTTTTAAAAGAAGCTTTGTGCATTCATGCATTACAAAATCAAAATCCAAGTCCTATTTGGATTCAAACACCCACCCAAAACAGAAAAGCATCCCTCACAGAGGATGAGTACTTTAAACCCCAAATCTTTGTAACCTAAATACGACAAGACAAGGCACTGGACAACAGCCCAAGTGCTTCAGACTAACAACGTACACGAGAAAACTGCTCATTTTAGTTATGCCAGCACAGCTGAAACAGCAAACCTCACCATCCTGTGTATGCAGTCATACCGATATCAAAGGGCATATGCCAGCAGCCTACTGCACCGTGGTTCAGCAGCCAGAATAAACTCTGGCAGCATGTGGCATCGTTTTTGAGTCAGGATTTTGTCAGTTTAACTGTACCAGGTGGAAAATCAAGCTTGACATAACTGAGTTACATTGGCAGCCTTTTAAAGAACACACCAGCCCTTTTATCATCCTAGTAACATTCTCAACACAAATAAATACCACATTAAGACACCTGAGGTCTTGAAATGCATAATTTTAAAATAAGCATCATACTCCAAGCCACAAAGTATCTTCACTGCCTTTTAACTTCCTTTCCTGCAAGTACTTACCACAGATACCTGAAAATATTTAACTCAACCTGCACAACAGCAGATCAACATCAGATACCCTCACAAAGTCTTTAATAAAATTGAAGAGGGAATGCTTTTTCTATCCAATGATGTGATATTTGAACCAAAAATCAACGCAGAACATCTAACCAGCATAATCCCCTTGTTATTTAGCCCAAGAAAAGGCTGCAGAAGTGTGAAGAATCACATTTCTTCAGTAAAGACTTCAAACTGAAGCTGAGATGCTCACTGTAGGAGAAAGTGCACACATTGCACATACGTTAGCAAGAAGGAAAGCATTACGGACAATGAGAAAGAAAACATTATCAGCAGAGAAGACCAGAAAGGTAAGACACAGGAAAGAAGAATAAAGAAGCTCTAAAACAATTAGACATCATGATCAACACAGCTACATGTTGCAGAGAATGGGAGCTTAACATTCTCTTCTATCCCAGCTGAATAATTTCATAAAGTGACCTTGTTTGTTCCTATCAAATCTATCTGCTATTTTTCACCAATACTTTGTGACATTACAGAACAAAGACCTCAAGTTATACAATTGCCCTTAAAACTATAATGCTAAAGAATATTTTCAAAAACCCAAATGCCAGAGAACAGTGCTTTCAATAAAATCTGGCAATGCCCCAAGGTACTTGACTCAGAAACCTACATAAAGTCATACAGTATGCTAAAATTCTCCACCACCAATTCTCCTCAAAAGTTTGGTGCTTTTCTTCATAGTGAAATGATAACTATATTTATGTGCTCTGTATCTCTAAACCTATTGGAAATGTGCTTCTTATCCAACTTGCTTTCCAGGGTAGCACATACCCTGGGGCAGAGGAGTTCTGCTTCACCCACACTGTTACGGACCCAACTCTGCTAGCAGGAAGGATGCTGGTATCCTAGATCCTATGGGATGCAATGCCTTGAGGAAATTTATATCAAACAATTATTGCATAATCTCAGGGTGTAATAAAACCTCCTACACCATACACAGGCTTTGAGTTTCTGTTGCACTGCTGCATCAGACGAAGCAGTGTCTTTGTCAACAGCAGCCGCAGGTCCCTGTATGAACCCGCAGGATCCCCTTGCTATGCATGTGAAGAAAGTTGAAGATTTCTGAAGGCATAGCATGAAAACCAGGGCGAGGTTTCACATTGTCATAGTAGTGGTGAGTTATGAAAATCCCTGAGGGGTTCATGGGGAAGGCCCAAAAGCCAAAGAGGTGGACCTCTTCACAGAGCTCCAGGGCAGCAGTCACCAGGATCAGTCCTGTGCTAATCCGCTTGGCCCGCACCCCTTGGCCTAGCCAGTAGCGTGAGACATTGATGAGATACTGGGGATGAAAGTAGTAAACAGCTTGCTGAGATTCAAAATCATCCAGGACGTATTTGACCCGGATCGAGACATCCGTGTTGCGGGTGTTGTAGAAAGCCGGCAGCAGCACAGAGGCGTTTTCGTAGACCTGGAGCACATCGTAAAAAGGCTTCCTCCATTTCTCCAGCTTATGAAATCTAATTGGAAAAGAATAAGAGCTACAGTCAAAACAGTACAGACTCAGTTTGGACCAGTAGATAAGAAACCCACAGCAGACTTTTACTGAAAAATTTCTGATACAGAGATAATTGAAATAATGTTTCAATTAACAAGGGGAATATATTTAGATCCGTAGCTAAAACATCAGTATGAAATGTAAGGCAAAAATGCAGGGGCTTAGAAAAAAAAATCATATTCTCCCCTTTTTTGACAATACACTCATTACAGTAGATGAACTTTGTAGACATTTCTGATTATGGCTTATTTCTCTTTTTATTATGAGACATATGTAATTTTTCCAAGGATTGGTCAACAGTGTAATGCACTATGCAGTGCAGGACAGTTCAAAAAAATGGCAAATACCAAAGCAGAGGATAAACATTTCTAAATTAGAATGTCTTACTCTAACATCTAAAAGAAAACCGCAGTGCAAGAAAACGATGCAAAAATTAAATACATTCCCACGCCAAGAAAGGTCAACAGGAATTAGCCCCATGGTCCCAAACCCGTCAGCAAAGTGGTGTGAAGGTATTAACAAATTTAAAATTGAAATCACCTGGTCAATCCTGGCTCCAAAGTTTAACTGGCATTTTTGTAAAAACATATGATGATGTGTGTTTATTTAAGCATTTAGGGTGGGATCAAGTCAATTCCAACCTAATGAGTCCAAGACATTTTCCTGGGGTTTGCCAGCACCACACAGGAATTCCAGGGGAAGGATGGCTCTGCTGTTACGAGTTTAGTTCATCAGCTTCCCCCTTTCTATTATCAATGTGAAGGTTTAAATGTTTAACACATTTCTTGAAGTTGTTACTGATTCTGAATAACTTCACTTCATAATGAGAAGTATGATTCCTAGTGTTAGTTCTAAGTAATACTGGGATAAAAATTGTCTTTAACAGTTAGAATTTAATGAAAGGTAGATTTGGAAAAGCAATAGGAGATGAAAACACAAAGTGAAATGACCTCTCTGTAATTATGCTGGGATTGACTGTCACGACGTCCGTCTTTACTCCAACATCTGTGAAGTATTTCTCAGATATAGGGGGCAAATTGCATCTATAAAGGAAAAAAAATAGTAAGAAGGTTAAACAATTCCTTACACCTTTTCAGCACTAGAAAGTAGAATTGATTTAAGTGTTTCTTTCAGTCAACAAGTCTAGAAACACTTTGAGGATGTAAAATCATATCAAAACACGTTGATGTCAGGTCTGTACATTAAAGTACCAAGTCCTTAGGGGCCGTATAAAGACCTCTGTTCTCCCCAAAGTCTATCAGAGCTGTCCTCTTTTGGCAGATGTAGCCAATGTTCACTCATTTTGCTCCCTTAGTAGCAATTCAGCTATTTACTTTGGTAATTTAGAGCCAGAATTGGGACGAAGCTCCAAGGACAATCACCATCTAAAATAAAGGACTTCCTCAGCACCAGCTCAATTGTATTCCCTAATTAATACACAAGCTATACTTCTAACATTGTGTTTAACATGTTTTGTTTTACACCCAAGGGAATTTAGGGGATATGTTCCACAAGAGAGAAATCAGTCTAGTCCCTAATTAATCCAAAACAACCTGCTTCCCCTCCTCTTCCCTTTGTATCTCTCAGAGCAGTGTAAGAGCAGTGGTTCTGGCTGTACAGATTTGACAGTGGATGTCAAAGCTATTAGGAGCAAATATTTGCAAACTTGACCTCACCCTGGCCTTGACCTAGATTCATCACCTTACAAAATTTAGGGCATACCTCAAGAGATGCTGAAATTACTGAAAAACACACTTGCGCACAAGCTTCACTTCCATAGGAAACTCAACTAAAAAAAAAAAACAAAACTGCAGCATGCATTGTCAGAGGCAACATAAGGGGTCTTACACTCAGTTCAAGGTAATGTTAGCTATCTGCTGACATTTTCAAAATTTTTGAAGTGATCTACAAGCCACAATAAAAGTCATCATTGTTTAGATCCTCACATCTCAAAACTACTGCTGTGCCTAATTCCCAAACAACTCTATACTACTTTTGAAGATCAGAACTCAGTAGTAGAAAACCAAGAAGGCACCTAGGGTAAGCAATACTCGAAGTTTACAATGTGTTACAGAGCAGTTCAAGCTCTCAATATATAATTTCTCTGTCCCAGGGAGAGAGCAAGTATAGTGGAGCAAAGAAATGCACAAAAATCCTTCAAAGTCCTTCTCAGACTCAGGAGGTTCATATCTGCCTCCCAGAGTCCTCCTTTATCAGGTCAGGCAATTTTTTTTAAACAATCTTGTCCTCCTCATGGGCATTGTTATTTCCAGCACTTTTCTCTGCTAGGTCATGCAACATCCTTCTGAAGTCCTCTAGCATTCTCAGTTCCACCTAGCACTGGGCACCATATTCATTAGATTAAATTTGACTAAGGTTTTCAAATATTTTGCTTTAATATTTTTAAACAGTCAACTCATATCAGGATTAAGAAAGGTTAGATTTGTTGAAGGTGATAATTCCTTATAAAAACTATATATAAAAACTATAAACTTCCTTATAAAAACTATACAATCTGCATAATCTGTGCTCTATAACTCCAAAAATTCTTCCCTACAAAGAAAATAGTCACATTCCAGCATGCATTCAACATTTCATCACAGATCTCCACTCTGGCCAGTAGATGGAGATAGACAACAACTAGTAAATGCAGTTGGTGTCTGTGTTATATACATTCTATTGTAGTATAATTAATTGCTATAAGAATTCATTTAATAAAAAAATATTAGTTGCATGCTGATGACTACAAGATTCCTGACAATATAAAGGTGTCCTGAAGGTATTATTGAATGTTAGCAGTGCTCAATGGACGGTGTTTGCTATTTTAAATAATCATTTTGTTGCTGACCAAGATGGCAATTCCCAACAGTTTGGTGAACTGGTGTCAGACTGGAAAGTGGATCAGTTAGGTGGATTAAGGACACCTGTCTTTAAACACAAGCTCTACTTTAAAATTGATGACAGCAGACTTTAAGCTCTTAAACATTAACACGGCTTTGAGCGTAACGCTGGTCCCATATGTTTTGGAGATGGTGAACCAGTTCTTTTGTTGCACAAGTACTGAGGTACTCATTCATATTTCAGTTCTATTTAAGTCTCTAATAAATTCCTGATACCAAAAAATCTTTGTCCTGTACTGATCCGATCTGCTTTTTTAAGCAGGTGTGGTACTGTCTGAGAAAGAGTAACAGTGGTAAGAAGGGACCTCCAATGAAAGTTCTTATACATAAATGATGACAATTGCTGCCCGTATTTCCACTTCCACTCAATAGTTTGTCATCTCCAAGTGTAATGTGTCTTTCATTTCAATCATACTAATAGCAGTGATCAAACATAGTAAAAAGGAATCTACCATACATATTTAATGTATACAATGTAAAGGAGGCTTTTAAACTGAGGCAGATTATGTGAAGCCTAGATTGTTTCATGGAATAGAATTCAGACAATAGCTTAATACAAAGGGGGAACAGAAGGCAGAAAAAAGGGGGTAATTAATGAATAGTGAAGGAAGGACCTGTAAAAAGATATTTTTCATTTGAAGCCAAATTAAGAATACAATGAGGCAAAATTTGGACTAATTTTATGGTATTAAAACACAGAAATTTACTGATTAATGAATAGTTACTTTAAGCTTACAAAAATATAGCTAAGGTCAGAAAATGGGCCAAGAGAAATAAAAAGATTTTCTTTTCTACAAAACAGGTCATGAATCTGTGAGCTAGCTGTCATATGCCATGACCCAAGTAAAGAACTTAATAGGATTCAGAGAGGGATTAGACATGAATAATAATAATAATAATAAAAAAAAAACTTTCCTTCATATTAAGGATGATGAAAATACTGCTAAATTCTGTTATCCAGAGATGCAAGTAACCCTGACCATAAAAAAACACGGTAACTCCAGACAAAGTGGTGAGTGCAGTATAAAGACACTGAAGCTTCAAAGTCACTTGGGTGTCTCTGCTCAACCTGGAATCTGTGCTACTGATCAGCAAATCTTACATTATGCAGCACTTGAGCTCTGCATCTGAAGAGACTGCACCACTTTGCAAACACACCTCCGAGGCATGTGAGCTGTGTGGCGTGGAGCTGTTAAGGCCTTGCCAAGCCACTTCTTATGCAGAAGAGGTCCAGAACTGTCCCAGGAAATCATGGCCATGTTCACAGGACACTACGCCTGGGCTAATGTCCACAGAAGGATAAATCTACAACTTGAGTAACAGGGCAGGCTGAATGAGGACATTAAGCTTTGTCAATAAATCAATGATTAACTACATGAGGTTAGGGAGAAATAATTCCCCAAAGGCTAGGTTTTCAATAAATATTATATAGTGAAGTGTTTTCTTTGATATATCACCACTTTGTGCAAGAAACAGGCTTGACCAGTTTGTAAATCCCAGGTTTGCATGTGGGAGAGAACAGCTTAGCAATCTTTTATTTGTTATTGAAACAGAAAACAGGCAAAACAAACAAATGAAATGGTGCTGTGGTGCTTACCGAAACACAAAGTCTGCACTGTCAATCTCTCGGCCACATCTGCTGTTCTTCAGAATTCCTCCATTCCCGACCACTGCACATTTCTTGAACTGGGAGCGGTGGTATGGCATATCCTGCAACATCACGGCAAGGAAAGTTATTCTCCTGAACCATGAAGGGAAGAAGTCTTTTATTCATTACTATTATTATTTTTGGTGTAGCTGAATCTTGCTGCAGATGGACTAATCATAGGAAGCTGACACTGTTTCTGGCCCATGGTATTCTTCTCATGGTGTACATAAGCAGACAGGATTTTCTGTGCAATTAGAGATGTTGTAAACCACTAATTCAAAAAGAAAAATGTAATAACCTCTTTTTGGTCCAGACTTAATAATGGAAGAAGTCATTTAGAAGCCTGCTTTCCCTTCTGACTTCCACACGGGGGCATGAGCTGTAAAATCAGTGCACCCAAGGCATCGCCTTCCTAGCTGCCTGCATACTGCTGGCTGCCCAGGCGCTCATGTCCTGCTTTGGAGAAGTCTGCACGTTGTCCCAGAGCAGCCAGTAAAGCCCAGGAGGTCCCTCTAAACCAGATGGCACATCAGAGTTATTTATCATAACCTAGGCCAAATTTTAGTGCTTGCCACTACTGCCTGTACTAATAGAACTGACGATTATTAAACAGCACTTGTACCACCAGCAGTGCCTAGAGCCTTTGGTAAGGCATCTTTAAGGACTTGGATGTGACTCATCTTTCCGTAATCTTTAGGCAAAATTCTGTCATCATATGCACATACGCAGCTGCTGCAGACGCCAGAAAGAGTGAAAATCACATCTCAGAGAGCAGAACTGGGCCGCTGGGGTGAGAGGGCCGTGATGCTGCACTGAGCTGCACTACACTTTATGAATATGTAGAGGTGCGCTTATGTAAGCATGAGAGCGCTCTTTTTTGTACATACATATTTTATCAATAACTTCATACTGCAAACTACAGAGAGAGACGTGGTAACAGCGTGACATTTCTAGGTGATTATTTCCAGGATCTTCCCATAGCGTTCATAAATCATGAGGCAAAAGGGCACGCATGCAATTATGCCTGTTTGACAAAAGCAGCACCTGTCTAACAGAGAAGCATGACAGAGTTGTCTGTGCTTTATCCAGTGATTTCTTAACACGAAATGCCTCAGCAGTTCTGTAAAAGGATCAAAAGCCAGGTCCTCATTCTCAGCACAAGGCTTTGGTCCTTACGCTCTTGCTCCCTTTCTTTCAGCCTTGCATCTCCTATACTTGCCATGCAGCAGCCCTGCTCCTAGGCAGAGCATAGCTTTGGCCCCATAGCTGCTGCCCAGTGAATCCCAAAGGCAATTTGGCACATGATAGACCCTGCAGAGCACTTCTGAAGCAGTCTTGGATAAATACAACAGCAGCTACAGGACACTTCCAGCCAAAGCACAAGCATCTCTAGTCTTTCATGCATTCATCTGTGCAATTAGGCATGGATTTGAGTACTGTACTCCTGGATGTAGATGTACCCATTCTTTGCACATCTCCAGATGCCAAAGCACTTTCCTGGATCTGAGTCCTTCCCCTGCTCTGACCTAGTTTCCCATGTGCACATTTAGACAACAGCACTGCCCTACCTTTCAGTCGTGATCAGAGAGCAAATGGATTAAAAGTTGTTAGACCCTCCAGGTCAACATTAATGACAGAATCCCATGTACTCGAACTGAGTATTTTCCTCCCTTTCTGAAAGGGACAAATTGCAGTTATCCCCTCAAAATACAGCATTTTAAATTCATGACATGTGCCTCATGATAAGTCAGTAGTCACATAAGACCATTTCTGCACATCAGTCACAAAGTGCAGTGGGATTTACCCACCAGTTACAACATTTGCACTTTGGCCCTCAGGTCAAGGATTATCTGCTGAAAAGGTTTTGAATAATCTTTATGATGGATATATTTGAGAATTCTGCAGCCTGTTCACAGATAAGCTGCAAGTAGGAATAAGGATAAAAATAGTCAGTCACTGTGAATATGAATTATAAAATAATCATGCCCTGAAAAAGCAGATCTACCCCAAATGTTGGATTGATTTTATGTGAATATTGTACTTTAAAAAGTTCTGTTCACTAACTGGATTTTTTTATTCAGTTTTATTATGTTACTTCATTAGCCGCTTTGCAGGTAGGTCACCAATATTCTGCAGAAAAACGTAGGTACATTGCACACTAGACTAGATGACCATTAGAAAATAGGATAACCAGTTGAAATATTGTATCAAAACTAAACATATTAAAAATAAAAGCAATGACATCTGCAGAAATGTCAAACTGCTAATTGCTAAATGCTTGGCTATAGCATATAATTTAATGCTGCAAGTAAAGTGAAATTAAATCTGCAAATGGATTGAGGCACGAGGCACCTTTGGAAACATTTTGAAGATTTCTTGGTTGATATGGAAGATTCCACTAGTATCCACTTCATATTTCAGTTTAGTTCCCAAAGGAGTATTCTTCTGGGTGGTGAACATAAACGCAGGGGCATTGCAACACCTTGACAAAGTAGACCTGTAAAATGAAAAAGAGATCAATAAAATCTAGGAGCTGACAGCATGCTTTAGGATTTGCAATTACTATTACTCCTAAAAAGGCATTTTTATAAAAAAAATCCCTCTCTGCTTTAGAGGTCTTCCATTTTTTGTAAATTTACTCATCACTGGGCAGGAAACACAGGGGCTAAAGTCTTCATCTGAGGATGTGGAAGTTTGATGGGGCAGGGACACAGCAATACCTAAAGTCACTACCACACTTACTGTGTAGCATGGCACATTCCGATTACTCAAAAACTTTAAAAGGTCTTAGTTTTGCTTTTGACCTCACATACGCACATCAGGGAGATGGTAAAGCCTTGACAAATGGGTGGTAGCCAGTCAGGTCATGGCTACAACTCCAGAATCTCAGACAAATGCCCCAAATTTCTTTGTCCCTGGGATAAAATAGGATATATTTCAATGCCAACAAGAACAGTTTTGACATCTCAAAAATGGGATTTATGAGAAAATCTCAAAAATGGGACATGAGAAAATATCCATTAAGCTCCGATCCCCTTACCATAAGTTTCATATGAAATGCAAATAGGAGGAGTAACTTTCCAGATAGGGATCCATTTCCCTGATGCTTTTCTCCTTTCACTGGTGGAGCTAAATCCCTGACTTCAGCTCATTCACTCTCTCTCCAGAGACGGTTTGTTTCTCAATGTATCTTACACTTTTAATGAAAAATACGTCACAGCAAATGCACAAACATGAAGACAAAGCCAAACGGCTAGATTATTTGCCTCTGGGGTATGTGGCCTCACTAGGAGCTGGAAAAATAAGCCACTCTTCTCTGGGGGTTTTATTACAAGAATCAGAAAGCAAATACGGAACTATGCAAATATTTCAGTGATGTCCAGTTGCTATTACATACTTGGCTGAAACAGAATGACATCGTATGATGATCAGATAAAGGCAGCAACTGAGACTGAGTGAGCCAATGAGTCATTTCAAGTAACTAAATCATTAAATAATGAAAAGCATGTAGTGGGACTAAATTGTGATATTTGAGATAAGAATGCCTTCTTCATTAGTTCTGCATTAAGGAATTGGAAGAGATGTTCTTTAATCTATCATCCAAATAGTTTTCCTGACTCATATTCCTTAACGTAAATGTCTGACATCTGACGGAGGACAACCATCCAGGAAATTGTTTTCCTTACTCTACAGATACAAAAATAAATGTGATCTTTGCCTATACTGCAGGTGTTACTGGCCTGAGAGTGATGTTCCTCCAGATGGTCTCTAGACGGTTGTCTCTCATCGCTCCCAACTCTCAGCTGGTCTGTGCTCCTTGCACTCAGGGCACAATCATTAGGACCCAGTTCTCTCACTCCAAGGAGTCTTTACAATAGAAGGCTCTAATCCCATATAGCGCTTTTTTTTTCTTCCCCCCTCAAAATGGGCTTCGATAATTACCCATCAAATATTTTACAGAAAAATGCATTAAAAACATATGTGAGGAAGTTCATACTGGAAAAAAACGCTATGAATCTGGGGCTAACAATTAGTTATTTATAAAGATGTTAGTGACTAACTCAGCACATGCATTCTCACATTCTCTCATTAACTCATGCCAGCTTTTTCCTGCAATTATTAAAGAGAATTTGGGAGAAATCTGTAGGGCCTTATTCTGAATAACTGCAGTGATTTACAGAATTAAACAGTCTATATTCCACTTCGAAATCTTCCATAGACCTACCAGTTGGACCTACTACATAGACCAGTATGGCCCCTGAATATGTTACCACACAACATTCAAGTATTGTTTTGGCTTCATTCAACTATTGCCTTCACAAGACCAGTTTCATAAGCCATATCTTGAAAGAACCATGAAGGACCTTCAGCAAAAATGAAGGAAGGTAAGGTACTACAGAAACAAACTGCAGAGGTCTCTGTATACCAGAAGAAACATCTGAAGATGGTCAGGCAGTAATGACTGAGAGGCCATTAAAAAAAAAAGGAACTAATAAAAAATGTGTGGCAGTACCTGATACACCACAGAAAAAATCCAGTGTATTTTGTAGGCCAAATCTGCAGTGTCACCACTGATGGTACTATTTTACACTAGAAGAGAGTTTAGTTGATGCATTACATATAGCTTTTACCTCTCTGCTCCAGCCCAATTTCTGCCCCTCATTTCTGCCCAAATCAAACCTTGAAAAGTCTTTTCCATATCAAATTCCCTGCCTTTGTTAGGAATACTGTCCCATATGCCACAAGAGCTCTCTTTTACTCTCCCTGCTGACCTTTTTACAGTAGTAAAAAGTCTGTATTTAGTCAAAAGGATGGCACTCCAACAGTTACAGTACTTACTCTTGCTATCCATATTGAAGGTTTGATATCACTATGGGAAGCTTAACTCAAACTAAAGCAAATCTTACTCAGTCCCATTAATATGGACCTTACTCAGTCCCATTAATGTCGACCATTCTTACTTGAATAGGTTAGCTTCTGTGACATTCATCTCCCATTTGCACATCTGGAGGCTCTTCCACCTGTCAAACAATTCAGTTTGTTTCACCCTAAAAGATAAAAAGAAAGAAAAGCAAAATTCTTTATTACAGGGCATTCACCTCCTTTTACTGCTGTAGCCAGGGTACCACCAAACAGGTGTTTGATAGGACTAACTATTCAGTCTACCTAGTGCAAAACTTAGTTGTTTTTTTGTTTGTTTGTTTTTCCTACTCAGAGGTCACAACTCTGAGCCATGTATATATACCTCCTCAAATGCTCGGAACTGATTTTTCTTCATTGTATAAACTGCAATTTCACGCATGCAGGGATAAGCATGTGTGAGGAGAAGAGAACATGTAAAGCTCCTTATGTAAGGAGCTCTCCTTCCTTCCCCCTTGTTAATAAATATACTTTCAGCTACATCAAGCAGTGATGCTCCTAATTCCACTAGTCTGGCAAAGGGTGACACAATTTTGGTGGTATGTATTTCCACCACTTCTACCTTAGAGTTCATACACACTTTTCTGCATTTGGACAATGGATATAACGAAGGCCTTACAAACACCTAGAGCTAGGCAGCAATGTTATAATATGGCTGGGAAATTTTGAACTCTGAGAATTATTCAAGACTGATAGGTATTAATGAGTTCTCTTCAACTTTGAGGGCTTCGAATATTCTAATAAAACAAAGACTTTTAAGGGAAATATATACATGTATTTAAAGTAAGTAGAACTTAGGATTTCCCAGGCTGTGGAAGTTAGAGGAAGGAATTAGGTCATATTGTACTTTCTGTAGCCCACCAGAGCATATTAAGTTGGAAATCTTCCATTACCGTAAGGGCTGACTTAGGAAATGTACCACATCAGAAGGAAGCACATCAGAAGAACCCAGCATAGTAAAAGAGCTTAATGTCAAATGGCATCTATCACAGAAGTAAGGCTAACTATCCAGCTGAGCAGGAGACCACTGCATTCTATATATCACTGGAAAAGATGAAGAGAAATGAGTAATTCTTTGTACCATGTGATAAGTATGCAGAAGAGCAATTCAAAACTCACCATCTTCAGCAGAACATTGGCAGAAGTGTCACATTCTCACCCCTTCTATTTATTTTTAAGCACTGCAAGTCAGCAGGCAGTGCAAAGTTGCTACTTGTGTACCCTTCATCCAGTACCAAATACAGAAGACAAGGACATAACCTACATTTTTTCGATGCACAAAGTCAGCAAGGGGGACATGCTTGAAATTCACGCAGACCTGAAGCAATAACTTCTATTTGCTGTGGCCTTGATCACTTAAAGCTGTGCTCTTATACAGCTGCACTTTCAGCTGAGACTGTCAGACTTTACACACCTTAACAAACCTGATGGATTCTAGGTAAGATAACTATACCACTGGTTGTAGATATAGTAAGGGACTACACGTAACGTGAGCACCTAAATGCAATGTGATACCAAAAATGCAGAAGGACAACACAAAAACATCCTTCTTTGCTTTCCAGTCAGCTCCATGGGCAATCTTTTTTGCCTGACTCCATCTCTCTAGCTTCATGGCTACATCTCAGCCATCTCATTAGTTTCCTGATGTACATACAGTACCAGACAAGACAAAACACAGATATTTTATGATTTCTCATAAATGCATTTTTCACTGACTGTTATTACTGAAACTCAATGCTGCAGAAAATTAAAGCAGTGGGCTCAAAAGTAAAAATGGGCTCAAAAAAGATCTAAACAAATTAACAGAGAGGTTTATTGTCCACTCTGATTACTGGAGTCTAGACACCACCTACTGCTCAGAGAGGCCCCATGCCAGAATTTGTTATCAGGTCGGGCTAACCATTTTGCCTCATTTCTTAGCCTTCACTGCTGTCTGTCATCAACAACAGAGCATGAGGCTAGACAGACACTTGTCATGAGTCAGTCTGTCTGTTCTTATCTTCAGTAGAGTGCCTGGAATATAATATTACACATAATATTGCAAACACTGCATTTAATTCCAAACTGGGAATATTGGGCCTGAACAAAATGTCTCAATGTATTTAAAAGGCTCCATTTTTTTTCAAATAGATCTTAGATCAAATTCAAATGTCACTACTCACCTCAGGAATCCCTGATGAGATCCCTATCGAAAGAATCTCTTGCACCTTAATACTTCCATAATTTCATCATAAATTATCATTTCCATCCTGCCTGAAAGCAACCTTCTTAGCAAACATTTATTCATACTTACATAGACAAAACCTTCACCTCGATGATGTCCTGTCGTAATTCCAGGCATTTGGTGGAGTTGTATTCCAAAGGCCCTTCATAAAACTCAAAATACCTGAAGAAGAACAAAGACAAAGACTATCAATAACCCTTATACTAGAACATTTGTCTTACACTTCAACAGAAACCTGCTTTAAGTTGCGATTTGTGATCCCTACCTAATGTGAGACTACAACAGTTGTCCCAAGAGCATGTTATTACTTCACAAGAAAATTGGGGCCCAGCACAAAAAGGACACAGAAGTATTGGAATGAGTCCAGAGGAGGCCATGAGGATGATCAAGGGGCTGGAGGACCTCTCCAATGAAGACAGGCTGAGGGAGTTGGGGTTGTTCAGCCTGGAGAAGAGAAGCCTCTAGGGAGACCTTATAGCAGCCTGCCAGTACCTAAAGGGGGCTACAGGAAAGCTGGGGAGGGACTCTTTGTCAGGGTGTAGTGATAGGAGAAGGAATAATGATTTTAAACAAAAAAGGGTAGATTTAGATTAGATTTGAGGAAGAAATCCTTAACTCAGAGGGTGGTGAGGCACTGGCACAGGCTGCCCAGAGAAGCTGTGGATGCCCCATCCCTGGCAGTGTCCAAGGCCAGGCTGGATGGGGCCTTGGCCAATCCACTCCGGTGGGAGCTGTCCCTGCCCGCAGCAGGGGGGTGGAATTTAATGATCTTTAAGGTCCCTTCCAACCCAACCCATTCTATGATTCTGTGATTCTATGATTCTATGAAAATACAGATGTCATTGCTAATTTTAGAACAGCCACCTACGTCCAGTTTGTCCATTCGTACATGGACTCAAATGCTAATTTTGAGATGTTCAGGAGAGAGCACTCAGTTTCTATTTAACTGATTTAAACTAAGTGGACAGGTTTTCAAACAGCTTCCAACACAATTCTCACTTCCTTAGGCATTAACTGGCTATGATTTCAGCAGAGTTCATCTCTCTTGTAGGCATGGTAGCTGCCACTGAAAGTCAAGGGAAAAGCACTGATTACTTAAGGTATATTGTTTCCATCCTTTGGGTGTCTGAATGTGCTGAGAATTTTAAAAACAGTTCCTTAAATTCTTAGCAAAGTGCTGGTGGTTTCATCATGCCTGTGGAGACTGTTGCCTACCTCTGAAATTGAGCTTTTCTTCGTGATTTATTTTCTTGGGGTATATTGGGCAGAGAGGGAGCTGGGATTTTCTTCTCACAAAAATTGAGATGGTTTTGAGAACAAAAGGATTTGGATGCTCAGACACATCAGATATGACAATGCTAGTCTTAATTAAAATCTGATATAAATGTGTGCTTTTTTAGTTGAACTCCTCTACCTCCACCACGAGACTGGAGTTAAGGAGAAATAAAACACAATGGCAGCAAAAAACCCAGGCCATCCAATGAATTCTGTGAAACTGTACTGAAATGACAAGAATGATTTAGGGTATAAACCAAGCTCTATATCACTTTCATCTCATCACTGTAAGACTGTAGTAAAACTTGATTCCTAAGAACGGGACATACCAATACAGCTGTTATGGGCATAATGGAGAAACACAAGTTGATGACCTGGGGGAATGGGTATAACAACAGAAGCTAGATCAAATTATTTTTATGGATCCTTTAAATTGTCAGATTCACAACCTATCCTCTGAATTGTCAATAAGAAATAAAAGTACTAGATTCCCATAAGAGTTTTATTCAAATCATCATCCAAAATGTAAAATTTTGATGTTGTGTCATTTGAAAATAACACCAAAAATCCTATTTGACCTGAATTTCTGTTCAGTTCCCAATATAAGACCTTTACATAGAAAAACCTTGTTATTTTTATGAGTGGTTCGTGTTTACAGTTAACAGCAAAATCTGGGGGGATCCAAACTTTGAGCTGTTCTGGAGAAGTTCTCATGCCAACCAGGGAACCTGTATGAAGAGAATGAGCCCAGAAAACAACATCTCCAAGTATCTCCATGAGGGCCTCCTAAAGCCAGAAGGATCTAAAGTTTCTGAATTTTGCCTTTTAAGTAGTCAACTTGATAAAGCTAGGAAGAGAGAAACCCACAGGAGGGAGAAAGGGACTATAGTATGTGACTGGAAAAAGCCCAAGAGCCTCCCAAAGCAATCTGCTACCAACTGGGAACATTTCTAACCTGTCAAAAACTGCTTTGAAGTGTTTCCTTCACCCCTCACTGAGGTTTTTACCACCTCAACTTTGCCAAAACCCAAACCAACCACAGCGATCCAGCGAGGGACAGAAAACTTGAGACTAAGAGGAAGAAGCCAATGCTAAGAAGATGGCAAGAGCAGAACCTCAAAAATTCTTAATGAGGAAGTAAACTTATTCCTGTCAAGAAATACAGTAACCCAACAATCTTTCAAGAATGTGACTATTTGGAAGTGTGTTTGCATATTTTTCAAGGAAACAAATACATTTTTATGAGTTCTGTAGAAGGAATTTTGTACTGTAAGTGTTTCATAAAAAATGACAAATCTGGGAAAAGGCTTCCTCAGCCCCCATGGTCATGCAACACGGACCTTCCTCTGGTTTCTCACCAAAAGCTTTGGGCTCTCCTTCTAACTTAATTGTTCACCTGGACATTCAGCCCTTACTAAAGAGCAGTTGAAATCCATTGCACTTTTACATCTCCTTTGTGCTTGGCTTAGTGGAGCTGGGGCTGAACAACTTGTGTGTTTTGAAAGCTGCTCCAGCTGAAATTGGTTTAAGAGCTCCTCTGGTACAGCCTCGCCAAAGCCCTGTGTGGATGTACTCCAGATACATTTCCAAAACCAAACTGACTTCATAGGACTTCTGGCTGGTCACAGCATTTTACAGGGGGAAGGGGTCTTGTCTGGCTATCGGTCCAGATACAAAAGTAACTACACAATTTTTCACCCCCCTTCAGTCCTCATTTTTCTTACTGTGTTTGGTGTTATCCATCCTTTACTTTGGCTCATTGAGTGAGACAAGACTGGGACCCTGAATGTTCACGTTTTACACGAAGGAATTGATAGAGGCAGGAATACATCCCCATGCAACACTCAGCACATTGCACACCATTCCCACCTTGCTTCAGGGAAAAAGCAATGGTGTATCAGCCTCGTGCTGACTTTCAGCCCAACATCGGGTTATAGTACCCTGTGTGTGCTTCAGGACAGCTAAGAATGGTAAAAGTCTAGATGAACATGCATTTTTATCTTTCCTGTGTACTTCTGGCTGTGCTGCTAAGTTAGAGAGCCGCAGCCCAGATGTCAAACAGCACGTTATCACACAGCAAAGCTGGCCTCAGCCCATGGCACAGCAGACAGAGTTGTTATTTTATGAAAGAGATGAAATTTTCTGAGTCCCAGAGGCTCCCTTTGATCATTGCCTGTTTAACCAATCCATGAACCAAAAAGAAAGAAGAAAAACGATGTGCTACCAGAGAGGCAGAAGGGAAAGGGGGAAAGAATCACATGAAAAATAAACCATTTCTGGATCTGAAAGAAATCCACGAGGCAGCAATGCATTTCCTTCTCCAGGAACATTCATGTTCTTCATTTGCCCCACAGCTTCTCCTCCTCCTGCTTCAGACACCGTGGCAGATTAGCAGAGGCAGCTCCCCGCAGCTCCGGCTGGCCTCTTCCCACACACGGGCTTCCTGCTGTCCTTTCCCCAACACCAGCCTCTAAAGGAACACGAGCTCCCTCAGCCCCTGTGGATGTCCTCTAAACCCAGCTCCTCTGCTCAGCGGGAGCTGGAGCCTGGTCCTGCCAGGAGGATTTGGAGAGCAGCCCGCCTGCTCTCCCACAGGAGGCATCAGTCTCACCCACTCCCCGGGCTCCAAGTGCTGCTCCTGCCTATTAACTCCTACTCCAAACCACAGAGCTCCCCGTGAACAAAGACACATTCGCCTGCCAGCTTAATTAACACCAATGGAAACTGTCCTCCCCGTCATCTTCCTCAGTATGATATCCAGCGAAAATGTAAGGGTGTAGTGCAGTTTATTTTGATTTATGCTCTTGATTAGTGACAAGTGATACTCCTGACTACGCTACTCCTTTTGCTATGAGGAAGGGTTGCATTTTAGCTTTCCAGGAATGACAGGCAGGTTTCACATCCATGAAACAGTGTGTATATGTCACCCCAGAATCTCCTTTCTTACGTGTCACCCCAGAATCTCTTCTCCCTGTACTGCTTTCCCTTCCTTTGAGGAAATCTAAATAATTTTCATCCCTCAGAGGTCAGAAGTCAAAGGGAAAACCAGCCCAGGAATCCACGGTTCTTTACAAGAGGGAACATGACGACAACTGAGTCACAGCAAACCATGCGTTTGCCCATGGCACTGGGAAAATACACACAGCTCACTGGTCAATGTCCATTCAGGTCAGTCATACCTTCCAAATCTACATTTTTCCAGGATGAAATCCCATATCTTAACACCACAAGTGCTGGGAGAGGACTCTTTTCATGCCCCTCAGTGCCGAATGTCCAGAAATGAGATGCTATTTGCTCTGTAATTTTCCCGTTTTAAATAACCATGACTTTCTTCTTTTCTAACCTTCATGTCTCCCACTGCAATCTCACTTCCAGCTGAGCAGCTTACTGAGCTTGAGAGAGAGATCCGACTTCCCAATACACCAGCTAACGCTCAGGTCTTTGATCATCTGCAGTCGGGCTGCTCCTGCTTTGATCAAAAGTAAGCTTTCCTTGGTCGTGCAACATGAATTAAAAAGCCGGAGGCTTCAATCCTGTCTTCAAGTGACATTTGGATTGAGGCACTGATTTGTCTGATACATCGCACAAAGGTTTGAAAATATAATTGAATGTAATTGTCAGGCGTCTTTTAAGTGAAACCATTTTCTGCTGCACAAACGCCCTCCCGTTTTGCTCGTTCCTGCAGTGCTGGTTCTGCACTGCTCGTGGTGAGGCCGCAGCGCTTACACTGCAAGGGAGCAGAGTACCACAGGAAGGATTCCACCTACCCTGCAGGAAAAACAAAGATCTTTCCAAAAATACACATTATCTAGTGACTAAGAAATCAGAGCAAGTGAACTAAGCCCTGCAGGCTGAATACTTAGTAAGAGAGATGTCCAATTTGCGGT